ACACAGGTTTGATTCAATCTGATTCTTATCTGTTAATTTTTAAGGATTCTTACCCTGTGGCACAGAGCATCTCAAAGGCCTGTCTTTCCAAACAACCTCCACCTCAAAATCCAAGAAATCACAAGAGTAACATGATAGTTCCTGTCATGTCCTCAAACTCTTGTGAACAATGGTTCCAGAATGTTCTCAGAAAGCTCCCTTCTTGGAGAGTGTTAAGTACAGAACAGAATTAGGTATTTTAATTTAGAGCCAGGTCCTATAATGGGCATCCATGAGGCCACTCCAAAACCGTGATTTTGAAAATGGCCTTGCTGGACTCAATTGATAACAGAGGGCAAACTGAAGCAAGAATTCTGTATTTAACATGCATCAACTGGAGGAGGTAACCGACAGTAACTACTACCAAAATCTAGAAGCCCTGACTGAGATTCTTCCTGTCTTGCGTTAGGATTCAAGGACCCAAATAAAAGTGGAATATGGATCTGACCCACTGTTTTAAGTTTTTTGCATTTGTTTACTGAATGGGGGATGTATGCCATGGCACTAGAGTGGAGGTCGCAGGACAACTTGCAGGAATCAGTTCTCTCCAACCACATGGGTCGTGAGATTCAAACTCAGATGATCAGGTTTGGTGGCAAGTGCCCTTACCTACTGAGTCATCTCAGTGGCCCCGATCCACTGTTTAAGTGAAGCTGAAATATACTATTTTTAAAAGGCTTTGAACAAGTTTTGAAATCTTCCATTACCAGTCTGATCTTTTTAAAGATATCTTGTGGGCTGGAGAGATGGCTCAGTAGGGAAAATGCTTGCTATACAAGCATGAGGACCAGAGTTCAGATCCCAGCACCCATGTACAAAGCCTGGTAGAGCTTGCAATCTCAGTGCTGGGAGGCAGAGACAAAAGAGCCCTGGGGTTGACTGGCTAGCCCAGCTTGCCAATCAGTGCGCTCTAGTTTCAGTAAGAGACCCTGCCTCAAAAAATAAGGAAGAGAGTGATAGACACCCACTGTCCACCTCCGGCCTCCATAGGCACACGCAAGAGCATGTACACACACACACACACACACATATATTCTTGCTGGCCTTGAAATTCTGATCCTCCTATCTCATCATCACAATGTAAGCCACTGTGCCTGACCTAGGAGTCCATTCAAGAAAAAAATTTAACTTATTTTGTGTGTGTTCAGTATATGTGGGTGGGTATGTACCACAGTGTGTACGTGGGGATCAGAGGACAGCTCTCAGGAGTCAGTTTTCAGTCCCAGAGCTTGTCAAGCTCACTGAGTCATCTTGCCAGACCCAGGAGTTCACTTTTTAAAAAAGATTTAATTTTTTTTTTTTTTTTTTTGGTCTTTTTGAGACAGGGTCTCCCTGTAGCCCCCGTTGTCCTGAACCTCACTAGGTAGACCAGGCTGGCCTTGAACTCACAGAAATCCACCTGCCTCTGCCTCTCGAGTGCTGGGATTAAAGGCGTGCACCACCACGCCCAGCAAAAAGATTTAATTTTTAATTATGTGTGTATGTGCATGTGAGTGCCCACAGAGGCCAGAGGATTCAGATCCCCCTAGAGCTGGAACCAACTGGGGTCATCTGTAAGTGCAGTATGCACTCTTAATTGCTGAGCCATCTTTCCAATCCAGGCATCCACTTGATAAAAATAGCTTTAAAAAATGTATTTCTGTGACTATGTCAAGTATTTTCTGATCACTGTAGAAATTCTAGAAAATATACTAAAGTTTTAAAATATAAAAATGTTACCATCCAGGGCTGGAGAGATGGCTCAGCAGTTAAGAACACTGGTTGTTCTTGCAGAAGACCTGGGTTCGAATCCCAGCACCCACATGGCAGCTAACAACTGTCTGTAACTCCATTTCCAGAGGATCCGACAGCCTCTTCTGTCTTCCGTGGGCATTGCACAACACGAGCATTGCACAACACGGGTGCATTTACCTACACGCAGGCAATACAAGCATACACATAAATTAAAAATAAAATATTTTTTAAAATGTTACCATTCATCAATAACCTTTGAATATCCTTTTACTTTATTATCCTTATTCTCAGTTTTATTTTCCATGGTACTCAAAAGTAGATGCACAAACTCAGGGTTTTGCAGCACTTTTTCCGAATGCACAGCTTTCTGATTAGTGCTTAGGTTCCAATTTATTTAATAATAAACAAAGGTGCTGAATAATTAGCTTGGTAAGCCAACACATCTTTATTTGTTCTTGGTTTTTGAGACAGGGTCTCATTCTGTAATTTAGGCTGGCCTGGAACTCATTATGTAGCTCAGGTTGGTCTTGAACTTGTCAAATTCCTTTTGTCTTGCTTTCTAAGTGCTGGATTACGGGTATGAACCCATACCTGGCTCTAATATATACTTTGGCCACATTCTACAACAAAAAATACTTAAGCAACATTTACCTTTACATAATGGAATTACAGATAACCTGGGTTTTTGTTACACTTTGGAACTCGAGTAAATGTTCTCTAAAGAATAGATAATCAGAAAAAGCAAGAAACTTGGTAAAATGAAGATTTATATATTAAAATTCCATAATTTTTGGAAATATGTATTTTAAGTGAAAGAAAAAAGCAGAATGTAAGGTTCGCAGTACGTAAAAGGCCAGAAAACTAAATGTTCAACACAAGGGGTGCTGGCTACCCCCACACTCCTATGGAGTTCACTGCCTTACTCTGGAAAGACCACCAAGTGCCAAGTTAAGTTACTAAGTCACTTCACAGTATGTATGATATGCTTTCAATGGCTACAAACAGAAGCAAGGACACAAGAAAAGAAGGTAAGGGGTGTGGGGTACGCTTCTTTTATATGTGTAAAACACATCTGAATGGTCACATAAGAAGAAACTTTCTACAGTGGTTAGTTACCTCTGGACTGGGAATAACAAGTTGAGTACACAATATGATCTGCATGGAAACAGGCAGTGAAACATGAATACAGCATATGCAAGATCGAAAGTATACTGCTTTATTTCTGGATCCATTTAGGATTGTCCTCTGAAGATCTGTAAGCAAAACCTAACAGTAAGTATTGAAAAACAATCTCCCAGGTGGAAAGTTCACCTTATCAATTATTCGGATTCCTGAAATAATAATAAAACGCAATGGATATAGGCATCAGAACAGTAAATGCGATTTCAAAAATCCAGTCACATTTTTGCTACTAGCAAGGAAATGGCCAGGTAATTGTTTCTCAAAGAAAACTAAAATTAAATCAGTCTGAACTCATCAAACATAGGTGAGTTTATCTCAAGACTTTTCTGCCATATCTATATTGGCTCATAAGTTCAATATCTGGCAGTGGACACTACCACCATACATTTAGGCAACCACAAATGAAAGGAAGAAATTTTTGTATGCTAAAATTCAACACACTTCTTTTCTCTCTAAAAACACACATAAGGAAATTAATTACAGAATTTGGGGAAGAGAGCACTAAGAACTCAGAAATATTTGCTTAAACTATATAATCATTAAAGCTACCTTTGACAACAAAACTCTTAAGGAATTATTTCAGATTTTTCAACATTTGTATTCCAGATGCAGACTGGTAACTAAGGCTGCCCCTAACATGTCTACTAATCAATGTACAGATTAATAGCACATCTATACTACTGAGTATGTATGAACACCAATCCATAGGAATGAAGCATTTAAATGAGAGTCCTATTGATGTGTACAGTTGTCTTTCAAGGCTCAGATTTTTTTCTACTGATTACCACTAATGCTTTTCACTGAGTTTCCCTGGGAGTATATATTATAAAAATACCACAAATCCCTAAGGATTCACAGCTACAATCAATCACTGTGAGAGTTAACTGGTAGCAGGATACCTCACAGGAGACAATTCAAAACCAGACCAGAGAAATAAAGGAGCACTCCCACTAATTTTCACTTCGTATCTGGCATGGAACATTCTTCTATTTTCGCTGTGGCATTTAGGTTATTTGGTTAGCTTAATAGGAAAGGAATATGTAGAGACTCCCTAGGAAAACAAACAAAAAAATTCTACCTCTCAAGAACGTGGCTCCAAGAGGGGTTTCTAGAGGAACAGAGAGAAAACTACAAATAACCCTGACTATCAGAAAAGTGATCCATCACAACCCTATCACTCAGATATTTGGGTTACCTTAGAATCTTATCTCACCTAAAACTCGAGACCTGGGGCAGAAAATGAAGGCAGCACTGGAAGTGCACTCTCAGGGAAGATGCGCTGGTCTGGGGGAAGCTAACATCCTGTGACATTCTGTATTTTCCCTAAATGGCGCTGCAGACTGAGGCCACTCTGTTCACAGTTCATCACGTTAATACTCACACAGGTGTCACTGCATTTGTGCAGGCCGTTTACAGGAGGATGTTGCTTTGCACCCTGGTGCCTGAGGTTTCGCTCCCCTACCAACCCTGGTTATTCTGAAACATTCCTCCCCATTACCTTTTTAATCTCATGCATCTAAACCTCTCCTGAAACCCCCACTCTTCCAGCTGTCTTAGGAAAAAGAGAATGGCAGTCCCCCCTCCAGGAGATGTTGGAGATTTGGAGGGTCAGGAGTAGCACAGGAGCGGAAAACTCCTACCAAAAAAAAAAAAAAAAAGTGACTTCAGGTCGGTCCACCTTAGCTCAAGGCCATTCGTTTGCCCTTCCCGTCCAGCCGGTCTTTCAGCGCATCCCAACAACGCCGAGGTGAACGGACACCTGCCGTCGCGTCCCTGCCTAGCGGGGCTCGGCGCACCTTCCAGGGAACCCCAAGGGCGGGTCTCTGCCCCTTCAGGAGGCGTTGCGCCCCCGCCCCAGCCCTTCCCAACTTTGAAGCTCAGACAGGGCCGGCAGCCAGGGTGGCCCGGTCCCGGGGCCAGGTGTACGGTAGCCGCGGCGGGCCGCGCCCAGGACGCTCCGTGGGCTTGGGCCTGTCTGCCCCGGAGGGTCCCTCGGCCTCCCCAGGCGGGACCAGCCTCCGCTCCCGGCCCTCCGCAGCCCTTACCCGCAGGACGTGGTAGCCCTCCGTGCCGCCGCCTGGGATCTCGACGCTCTGCGAGGAGCCCATGGCGGCGGGCGATCAGTGCGGCCAAGCCGGCTCTGCGCTGCTCCCGCCCTCGCGCACCGCCGGCTCCGCGTAGCACTTGGGACGTGGCACTCACAGGCGCCAGACCCGGGCCGCACAGCCCGCCGGGAGATCGTCGCCGCGACAGCCCGGGCTGCTACGCCGCAGACGGCGCCCTCTGCCGGGAGCCGGCGGAGAAGCCTGAGCGCGTGCGGGCGCGAGGAGGGCGGGGCCTGTGCCGCTCACGAGAAAGCGGAAATGCGGTTCCGTCGGTTCGGACACCTGGAGACGGAGCCCTGCCGGGGACAAGATTCATCTCCGCGCGTTTCCACTCTCCTGAAATAAAGGTTGCTAGGTTGCAGCGCCCCCTGGTGGCCAGAGGTACGGCAAGGCTTCCTGCCCAAAAGAAACCGAATGAAAAAACACACCAAACATCCTCCTTTTGTTTTTGATTTTTGTTTTTGTTTTTGAGACGGGGTCTCACTATGTAGCCTGGCTGGCCTGGAACTCACTGTGTAGATCACTGGCTGGCCTCGAACTCAGAAAGATCCCCTGCCTCTGCCTACTGAGTGCTGGGACTAAAGGCTTCCCCCACCACACCCCGTTGACCTTTTTTAGGTTTGTAGATCACGGCTCGGATTATATACCTGAAGATAATTAGTGATTCCCTGAAGTGTTGACTATCTCATCCTCTTAGCTCACTTTTTAAAAATGCTTTATTTTTAATTTATGTGTATGAGTGTATTGCTTGCAGGTGTGTAAGTGTGCCTGCTGGTGCAATGCCCGCGGAGGTCAGAAAAGGGCGTTAGATCCTCTGGAACTGGAGTTACAGACGGTTGTTAGCCTCCATGTGGGTGCTGGGAATCCAACCAGGAAAAGCAGCCAGTGCTCTTAATCTCTGAACCAGCTCTCCAGCCCCTTTAGCTCACTTTTAATAAAGGGAAATGTTACCTGAAATAGAGCTGTCCCACAGAGTCATGGAACACGTACCAAATTTGTTTTTCCTCCTCCCTAACTGTAAGAACACAGGATCAGTCACACTGGCTACAACAGAAGTGGGAAGCACAGTTGGATATCCTAGGGGTTCCACACCACCTGTTGCTGCTTGATTCTCTGCTGCACCTCTTTTGGGAAGCTAAATTTGATACAAACATCTTACAGAACGCCTTTGCTCTTTAACTCCCTTCCAGTGGTCTAACAGCACTCACAGCATCCCCAGATAGTGTCATTCTCCAGTGGTCAATTTGACTTTCATTAATAGCCTGCTGTCCAGCTGTCATCTGTCTTCTGATGCTTTGAAATGTCAACTATCACTTATGAAGTATTCTGGTCCCTAATTTTTTAAAAAATATTTTATTATTTTTATTTTATGTGAGTGTATTACCTGCATGTATGTGAGTGCACCCGTGTTATGCAATGTGGTGGAGGTCAGAAGAGGGCATCGGATTTCCCTGGAACTGGAGTTTAGGACGGTTCATAGCCGCCATGTGGGTGCTGGGAATCGAACCCAGGTGCACTGCAAGAGGTCAGTGCTCTTAACTGTTGAGCCATCTCTCCAGCCCCTGGTCCCTAATTTTTTTATTAATAGTTACCACCACACCTCTTCAGTTAGAATCTCCAGTTTCCAGGACAGAGAAACAAATATATGGCATCTCCAAGGTCCCAGGTCAATACAGGAAGTGGACCTTTCTTCAGAACACCCGCCGGTTCTCCATGTAGAGTCAGAATCACGTGAAAAGAAGTACAATGGATTAAGAAATCCATAAACACAACTAGGAAATACAACAAAGGTCTTGAATTGGGGGCTTGTTAAGATTTGGGTCTGGAATCCAATACTTAGGTGCTAAAGGCTTGGTCACCAGCCTGTGGAGGTGGTGGAAACTTTAAGAGGTAGGACCTAATAGAAGTAAGTTGGGTCATTGTGGCCTGCCCTTGAAGTAAGTAGGGGAACCCTGCACGTTCCTTTCCCTCTTTGCTTCCCAGCTGCCCTGAGGTGAACAGCTTTGCTCACCTAGTGCTTCCCACAGGCCCCCAAACAATAGAGTCAACAGCCATGAACTGAAACCATGAGCCAAATAGATCCTTCTTTAAGTTAATTATCTGACACTGCCACAGTGATACAAAGTTAACAGATGATCCATTTTAAGAAATTATTTGCTTAGCTGTAAAGGACATGCTTTGCTTTGTTTGAGCACTGACTAAACCCCTGATCTCAAGTGAGCCTCCTGCCTTAACTTCCTGAGTAACTGGGACTAGAGGCCTGTGTCCCTGTGCCTGACTTGTAAAGGACATTTTTGCTTATTTGGAGAATTAGTATGTACTGAATATTAGAAGAGAAACATTTATTCATATGAAATAGTAGGAGTTATTTACTGAAAAAAGCTATCTGTAGATATATGAAATCATTTTCTTAAATACAATGTGTATTTTATATCTGTCTACATATGAAAATTTGGGAGAATATGAGCCAAGAGCTATAGTAGTGATCTCTGAATGGTGACAGAAATGTTTTGTTTTTGTCTTGGCTGGTTCTGTATTCTATAATGCTAATGGACTGCCTTTTTATAAGAAAATATTATTTAAGAAATTAAAAATATCATTTCCAGCTGGGTGTGGTGGTGCACCCCATAATCCCAGCACTCGGGAGGCAAAGGCAGGTGGATCTCTGTGAGTTCAAGGCCAGCCTGATCTACATAGTGGGTTCCAGGACAGCTGGGGCTACACGGAGACCCTGTCTCAAAAGGATAAAAAAATCATTTCTCTCCTTGCTGCTAATAAGTCAATATCAGGTTTTTGGAAGGCCCAGCAGTTCATAAGTAAAGAAATTAAATAGCCAGTTATTTGGCATCTAAGAGCAGGGAGTGCAGTAGAATTGGTTCCATGTTGCTAATATTTACCAAAATGCTTGGTATCTAATTCAATAAATTAATTCATTTAATGCAAGAAAATGAATATAAGAACTAATTTTATGAAAATATTATTTGCTGGGCAATTAATAATCCTCTTCATGGTGATTTTATAAGATACTGCCATATTAAGTGGTCAGCATATTTGAATCAGTGGTTAAGGAGATGGCTCAGTGGGTAAGGGTGTTTGCTGGGTAATCATGAGGATCTGAGATCAGATCTCCAGGATCTACATAAAAAGTCAGTCTGTGGCTGCAGGTGCCTGTAGCCCCAGTACTGGGGGAGAGAAGACGGGAAGATTAATGGGGCTTGCTAGTCAGCAGCTTAGTTCCAACTTGGGTGAAAGACTGCCTTAAGGGAACAAGGTAGACAGTGGTAGCAAAGGATACCCAATGTCCTCCTCTAGGCTGTACACATGCATGGGTTCTCATGTGCGTGCGTACACACACACACGAGAGAGAGAGACAGAGAGACAGAGAGAGAGAGAGAGAGAGAGAGAGAGAGAGCGCTTTGGATCAGATTCTCCTAGGTATATGACACTAGCCATGACTTGCAGCTCCCACGCAGTGGATCTTTGGTGGCCCATGAGCAAGTCCAGCCCTTCCTTAAAGCTAGATTGTAGGCTCCAACTACATGGGTGACTACTTGAAATTCCCTCCACAGACTATTTTCTTTTTTTAACTTCTTGGCTTATTCATGTGAATCCATATGTTTTGAATGGCCTTTCTTTCGTTTCCTACTTAGAGAAATCCTCACCATCTCTTCAGCCCTCTCTCAAATGTTACTTACCTATCCATAAGTTCAGAATAGCTCTCCTCTTATTCTGAGTTCTTGAAACAGCTAGATGCTTCACTTCTGGTAACATCATCATCACCACAGGCTTGTCTTTCATTCAGCCTAAGAATCCTGTCTTTTGGGAGCCTAGAAATGTAGCTAGCGATATAGCACAGTGGTAGTGCACAAGAGGTGTGGTATGATGATGTCCTTTCATCTTCAGATCTCAATTTTATGGTTGGGAACATAGTATTAATATTTGTCAATTTGAGGCTGGGATGTAGTTCAGTGATAAAGTGGTTGCCTAGCATGTGCAAAGCCCCTGGTTCAATCTCTATTTTCTCAAATAAATAAAATTTAAATATTGTTGATTTGAATGAAATGCATATAGTGAATCGCTTCACCATTTTTTATTTTCAGTTTCAGTTAATAAGTTAATTATTAAATATGTATTATGTATTTGGTGGCAAGTAGTAGCAGATGAGCTCAACTGATTGGAGGATTTAAAGAATATAACCTTTGCTCCAGTTCCTGGTGCCAGTTTGCTTTCTTAGTTAGAAAATATGCTCAAATGGAAGGCAGAGAATAAAATTCCAAGGATATTGCCAAAGCTAATATAAATAATTACAACATGATGGAGAACACCACATGGGAAATTATTGTCCAAGTCAGTCTCAGTTGGAACAGGAATCTGCTGCTGCAGGCAAGTTGGCGTTTTGAAACATCACAGATGGCAGAAAAGCAAAATCCAAACAAGAACAAATATCTACAGGCTAAAAAAAATTGAACCAGAAGCAAGTTATTTCTGTGCAACCAGATTTGTGTGTTTCTTCTATGTTTCATTAATTCTCAATTCTCATAAATAAGTAGTTCATGATGGAAGGACCAGTTTTTGTCATATTGATTAGTGCAGCCTTATTTTTCTGACTCTAGACTAACCTGGAAAGGTCTAGCTCCTGCTGTTTGGATGGCAACCCCTCTTGAATAGGTTGGATAAATGGGTAGGGTCCCATATGATGACCCTTTCTTAACATAGTCTGTTTTTCTGTTTAGCAAAATAGTCATGTTATGTGCTATGGAGCCTCAGCCACCACCGGCTGGACTATAGGGGAATCCATGCCCTATCTATAGGTGATCAATATCATCACTGAATAGTAACCTATGAAGTGGCCTTTTAGGAGAAATGCTCCCCCCTTAAATGGATGAGAGTGATAGCCTGGCTGAGCAGATGAACAGATTTCACTTGGAGAACTTGGAACTGGGAAATACAAGGAGAAATGCAGTTAGTGTGCATGTATTTGCATATTAGAATGACAGCACCAGAGGGCAGGTGTTTGCCTGTGTGTTTACTGCTACATGCTTGGTGCTGACGGGGGTTGGCATGGAACGGCTTCTCAGTACATGGTGCTGAATGACTGAAGGGTTGTGTTGGTTGTCATGTTAATAGAAAACAGTAAA